AGCTTTCAGATCGATTGCTGCAATCGGACCATACTTTGAAAATAGATTCTCGATATCTCGAGTTTTGGTATCTGGAGGCAGATTCCCAACGTAGATCTTGTGAGTAGTTCTGGACATTTTGATGTAGGTTCTAGAGTACCGCCAAACAGAGATTTTGAACGGATAAAACAAAAGTCCCTCAAACCCTGAATTGATTGTTGACGTTTATCACGCCCTCTATCCTACTTCTATGCTGGGTGTGGATTTAAATGTTCTACGCCTATCTGAGGTGTAGTTTGGAGGCATAATGTTTGCACACAGTGTTCAGGATGAAACGGATGGATTGATGCTCAGTTGCGAGTTACACCAAGCATCGTAAAATGTTAGTGCATGGATTTAACACAAATTCCCTTTCATTTAGTACAACATCAAAGTTTTTCAGCAGTACCAGTGCTTGAATGAGTTATTTGTAGACTTAGCCACACATGACCAATGACCGTCGCTATATGCCTCGGAAATCCATCCTTATTGAAGAAGACTATAAAGTGCCGACAAAACAATAGCTTCAATAGGAAGACCACATAGTTTTGAGCACAATCAAACATCCTGCCCTGATAAGATACAAAACGGCGACTTGCTGCATAAATTGTCCACTTTATTCGTCAATTCCAAAGCATTAAATGTTGAGAAAGACTTCATCGACCGATCTGGTTAGTAACTCCCTTGTAGCAAGCATGAGGGGAAGTCATCACACCGATTGGCACTGCAATGATCAAATATGGATCCGACTGAGTCTGAAACAACTCCCGATTCACCAGTAACTTCACACTGTAACTCCCACCGAAAACACACGTAGTCCCATACACCTTTAGGTTTCACACTCACCCCTGTCGTGGTTCACTGCAATGCTATTATGTCACAACCTCACCGTGCGTATTCCAAAATCCCTAACCACAACAACTACATAACTTTTACTTCTCGGTGCAGACTCGTTGAGCACGTGATCCTAACATAGTCCGAAATACAATAATAAACTTCAAAACCGCACTACAGAACTAAGCACTAACTCTTGTCACTCGCATTCTGTCCTCTCATATATCCAGGAGGCCTAGCTGTGGGTCTTATGTCTAAGTACTATCTTTTTGTTGAGCGAGAACATATCCGGGTGTTGAGACAGAACAACTCCCATTTATTTCTTTGCTGAGATCTTGACTGAAGAGACAACACAATCCCGCTACACTTGCAATGACCATGGACTCACCTTAACAGATGGGCAGTCAGACATACAAGAACAATTGGTCGTGAGCCAAACAATAAGCACACGTTTTATTCGCAGACGAAACCAGCCTCTCGACCAGATTGGCGCACTCGTGTCGTGAGAACACACTCTCAGGTCCATATGATCACGGAAAGTACAGTCTCGGTGGCTCTAACGCCTGCGAGTTAACTCAAGTCTACGTCATGTCTCACCATACATCTATGTTGAAGAAATAAAGACAGCTTACTGGCGCAATAAATGTCGACTGGCATAGTGCACAGCCCATCAGTTTGCGCTTAAATCTAGACAAGCTCTGAGCTTGGTGTGATATAAGGTGACCAAGATGCCCAACTATTGCATTCTTTACTGTCTAACCTGAATTTAAAATCCCCTCTGAGACTTAGAGCACAACACCACTTCAGTTTTCATACACAATTATAACTGACGTCCCTGGCGCGCCTCAGAATAGTCAGCACTATACAGCAGCTCTCAACACCACACAGAACAATACTTTTCAATGTGTTTTCCGTGGTTGTGATCGAGGGCAACTCACGGTCAGCTAAGTAACTACGAGACTAAATTTCTGATGCGGTGGACAGAGACGTCAGTGTCTTGTGGAAGCGTGCCTGTCACTAACAAGTCATAGAGTTAGATACCACAATCGGTGGCCAATCATGATTCCGAGGACCCCACACCACCTGCACTCATTGACAAGTCCTGTCTGCGATAGACCAAGCAATGGAGTCGACCGAAATGCTTCTCTAGGTAGTTGACAAGATTCCTGTCAAGGAGACTCCTCACAGCCGTGAAGTATTGAGAATTAATGACCCTGACTAACAAGCGAGAAATTTCTCGAGTTGGCATTACTGGAATGTAAAATTGTAGAACCTTATCTCACCACAACATGTCATATGTAGACCTGTCATCTGGCAATCACTTTCGCCTCGTGACAACCAGCTCCCGATCGGCACTACATGGACCTCATAAGACCAACACGTGATATCAATATAAGAGATTAAACAATTTATTTGACACCAAAGCAAATAAAGTTGAGTCCTGATGTGAAAACAGGGTTTTTCAGAGTTGAAATTGACTACCTAGCTTTAAAAACCAAACGGGATTTATTTATTTACGTCCAATGGGTGCTGGACGATAGCCTTCATGGACGTCTATCGACTGTTTTCGGGTCCATTGCAAAGGTGGAACGCCAAAGCATTTAATGGGCGAGAAATGTTCCAGAACAGTTGTGGTGATCTAATATCCGTTGTTGTGAGAGTGTTTTTGTACAGGACTTATGATACGAGTATGCTCCTGACAGCTTGCTTTGCAACCTACATTCCGTTATCCGATCTCAAGCATCCGTGAGCAAATCCAAGAAATCCAAAGTCCATCCTTAGATGAAATCCAAGACTCTCCTGAAACTTATATCCTACTGACCATTTCACTATCTTGTGGTTTCGACTCAAACTTAGAATCCACAATGCACACCTACTCCCTTTTCCATCTGGAGAAGCAGAAGTATGACCTCCTGAGAATCACTCGTGGTAAAGTGCATCCATCAATCCACTGACATGTACAGTAAACATTAGTATTCCTATCCCTTCAGATGCACTGAGTCCATCCTGTGGTCACAAAACTAATATTCCGTCGTTCCCTCCTATGTGGTCGTTTCCTCTTTCCATTATCCAGAAGACCTTTAAAAGCAAGAAAACTGTATTGAGTTTGTGTGATAACGAATAAAAATGGCCGTGACATCAAATTTTAATTACGTACAAACTTTCACACTTGTCCAGTGTCTTATCGTCGAGGGCTGATTGACCTAGAGCACGAATCGTAGGATCGACCTCTCCGTGGTGAGCCATACGACCGAGACCTGAAACGAGACCCTCCGGCCCTCTCCTCGCGGACACGGATATACGAGGATTCACCCTATAAAATTCAAATCACCATAACCGACAAACATACCTCATGAGAACGAAACTTGGAGTCGTCTAGACGTCTAATGGCATACTTCATGTCCTCGTACCTTAGGAATTCAACCACACCGGTGCCATCACGGAACACATCGGCATATCCAACATCCCCAGCTTCACGCATGTGATCCTTGAGATCTTGCCAACTACCGGTGGGTGGCAAACCCGTGACAATTACTCGAAAGTCTGATCTCCTCGAAGGGCCACTAGCTCCACCTCCCCCGCGATTAAAGCCTCCTCGTCGAAACTGGTTAGGGTTAGGACCGCCATTCCCATTGTTAAAACCTCCAGTGCGCGGTAACTCGACTCGCAAGGCGTACCCATCAAAGTTGTATCCATCACGTCCACGAACGGCATCCGACGCATCACTTGGAAGGTCCACGTCATATAAACACAACTTACAGCTCGTCTTCGAACTCAACAAATGCAAACGGTGGACCACGTCTTTGTCCAGCTTTCAGATCGATTGCTGCAATCGGACCATACTTTGAAAATAGATTCTCGATATCTCGAGTTTTGGTATCTGGAGGCAGATTCCCAACGTAGATCTTGTGAGTAGTTCTGGACATTTTGATGTAGGTTCTAGAGTACCGCCAAACAGAGATTTTGAACGGATAAAACAAAAGTCCCTCAAACCCTGAATTGATTGTTGACGTTTATCACGCCCTCTATCCTACTTCTATGCTGGGTGTGGATTTAAATGTTCTACGCCTATCTGAGGTGTAGTTTGGAGGCATAATGTTTGCACACAGTGTTCAGGATGAAACGGATGGATTGATACGCAGTTTTGTTGAAGATACAAATAATCTCATTCTATAGTTTTATAAAGATGACCATTTACCACAATATACATGATTATTTAATAACTAAACGGACTGAACTCTAAATTTTACTTTGAAATCATGGACTTGGGCTGGCATTGGAGTTTCATATACTTGTTTAGTCTTAATTAAGACTAGTAAGCTGTACGTATCTGCATTCAAGAGTCGATGTCCATTTCGAGATTCGAAACCAGCACCTTTCTCTAAAAACGATATCGCGCTATCCACTTATCTATTAAGTCTGAAACAGAAGTAAATGCTAGTCCTGGATTCCATTGTTAAACACTGTACGTCTATTCTACGTAAGCTTATGAAAATTGGTATATTGTGGCAGTGTACTTAGGGTGTACATATGCCAACTAAGTCTTATAAAATATTAACAACGGGATAATTCAAACCATTTCAAATTGTGCTACTAAGGTTTTGTTGAAACTTTGGAAAAGTTCTTGGGGAATTTATGAATGGTTGACCTTAGTTAATGGTGATAATATATTTTTCCATGAAATTTAGTGTTCCAATGAACACCTAAAAGACTATAAAATGATGCATCGACAGGATAACCATCAATTACCTGTGTTGAAGCGTGCATGCAGTTATATGTGGTATTTTATGCTTCCCCATTGCCCTTCCGCCAAGTGCTGATGTTCTGAGCTAGGGAATTTTGTTTATACTCACGGTTTTTATAAGATGCTCGGGACTGAGGAACGACAAATTAACTTGTGCGGTTGACTTTAGAGAATGCGTAGGGATATTTCGCGTAAACGTGAGGAAGAGGGGGGGGGCAAGACTATTGTACGGCCACAAATTGGGTGTAATTAAAGGGTAGATAAAAGTGAAGAACTACATGTTTCATATGATAATGTATCTGTCGACCAGGTTTGGAAATTTCTTGGACAAAATAGTGCTTCGTTTAGTTTACTAATTAGTTTATTTTTTATCAAATGAATGAGTAACAAATAAGAAATCAAGTAAAATAAATAAAAAGCAATTTATTGATGAAAGCTGAATAAGCTGCTTTCTTATACATAAGAAGAAACTAAAAGTTGTCTAAATTTTTTATTATATACGGCTGATTTTGAATTAATTTACTTCATTCTTGAATCGTCTATAAAGCTGTCTTGTAGGTCGATGGTGTTCAGTGATTGTTCATCTAAAACCAAAGTCAAGTTTCCTAAGATTGTTTTATTGATTTGATGTATTATATTAGAATCAGGATTAATTAGTGACTGCATTGGGAGCCATATATTTTGTTTATTATTTAATGAACCTTTGTTGAAAGAAAAGGATTAATTAATAATCATATTAATATAAACACAAAATGCAGATAAAAGTGATTAACAAAAAACTGATTTAGGCCAATTACATTTTCATAAATAATAAATCTATATTGATATAAATAAGAGGATACTTGAAGTGTAGTTTATAAATTATGCTGTAGACCGGTTAAAAAATGATTTTTTTTAAGTGAAAGGAAAAGTTGATAGAGCTTAGAACTAAATTTGTATTTCAATTTCTAAAGTTTCATGAATAAATTATCAAAATGGGTTTTTTGCAGATTGTAGTAATTTCAACAGTTGAGATCATGAGTCAATAGAAGATAGACAACCATGGAAAACCTGAAAGAACTGGACGGCCGTTTCGTCCCATTATGGGACTCCTCAGCAGTGCGCACTCATGACCCCGCCTCGCGTGATTCGAACCCAGGACCTATCAGTCTCCCGCGTGAGCGCTTAACCACTAGACCAATGAGCCAGCATCCAACGCGGATGCGCACTGCTAGGGAGTCTCACAATAGGACGAAACGGCTGTCTAGTGCTTCCAGGTTTTCCATGGGGTTCTAGCTTCAATTGACTCATGATCTCAACTGTTGAAATTATCAAAATATTATTTAACATTTACAGAAAAAAATCTGTGTTTATTCTCATATACATTATTAGTTTTGATATCTCTTATTTAGAAAGAATAAAAATGTTTTTCGAGATGGTATTGATATCAATACACGTGGACAACTGCGGACACACATTCGATTGGAAAAATGTGGAAATCGTGGACAGAGGAAATTCTAAAAACACAAGAGAATTTTTAGAAGCCTGGCACTCAGGTCAATCAGCAATCAACAAACATATTGAAATCGAACCGATTTATCAACCAATCAGGAAACTTATGCACAAATATAGGAACAAGAATCAAACCAATAGGAGACAAAACCAAGACAAAAAAGTAAACAATGACAAATTTAAGGTCAATAAGAACCAATCAACATCGAGGTGCACAGAATATGCTGTGAAACGCATATGGAGAAATTCGAACACTTCACTTCTATCTGAAGTTTGTGCTGATGATGTCGTTCAGAAGAACGATGAAAGCTCCACGACCAAACCATCCAGCTCAGAGAACAAAACTCCATCAAAAATGTTTTTCATATGAGATATAGGTGATCGTTACTGTTATATCCTAGTGAAGAATTAATTATGGGTAACTTCTGAGAACTATTAATGGGCTAATATTATATATATATATATATATATATATATATATATATATATATATATATATATTCCAATTGCATAACTACTCAGTAACTAGATTATGTGTATCCATGTTCCTCACATTATAGGTTTCATTTTGACCTTTAGATTATTATTATACGATTTACTGTTCTTAAGTTATGTTCTGTTTATTTATTACAGTCTCCTACGTTCGCAGCCACTTTTTGGCTTGGTCTTGTGTAAATGTTATTTTCTATTTTATAGTTTGATGAGGTCTGTTTGGCTGGTATATAAACCAAGTATGTTTGAGATAAATGATTTGTATAATGGAAGCTGGTATTGGTGTTTTGGACTCGGCAGAACGAGCTAGGCTAACAGAGGATCAATAAGGATGCTAGGCTGCTCATACCGGTCGAACGTCATTGGTTTGTCACAGTGCTAAAATCGTATAGGTCGTATTTCGTTTGACGAATAAATCACGTGATAAAAGCCGGGGTTTAAATCACAACAGTTACTACATAAACAGACAATTAAATTTTATTGACACTTTACATACCTATAATTTTATTATGCTCATAAATTTCCTTGATACAATCATCTTCATCATTAATCCTAAGGAAAGTTGAACGAATAAATAAACAAATTAAAGTGAAAAAGATTATTAAAATTCTTAAAAGTTTTACTTTATTGATGCTGATATTCATTATTTAGATAAAACTGTACTATTTATTAACTAGAAGAGAATGGTAATAATTTACAACTAAAAAGCTTTGGGAAAAATCTAGTCATCTAGGTCATTAAATGTATTTTAAGAATAACTTCAATAGAACAATTTATCTTCTGTATTATTCTATATCTATAACAAATTTTGCATGCATTTAATCGCAAAAAGATCCGATCAAAATATCTGATTTGCTTCATCACAACTTTATTTTTTGATCGGCAGTCAATGTGAATGATTATCAGAACCCAAGTTACTGATAACTGATTGACCATAATTAATGACTACTATGAATCATATAGCTTATAGCATTTTATAAGAAGAACAATGCTTAAAATAACTGACTACTATACTAACGTAAGTAGTCAGATTTTGTAAAAGGTGCTAATGAATAAACCAAATCAAATCATTCCATGAAATTATTTATTCTTGTGTTTTGTCTTCATTGTTTTTACTCATTTCTATTCGACCCAGCTTGAAAATATTAAAGGATATGTACTTTGCTATGAAATATAGTTTCAATTAGAAATAAAAGTAAAACATGGTTAGTCTAAAAAATGAAACAGTCTAACTTAATTCATGAGATGTTTTGAATACTCATTTGTACGGTTTGTTCTATTTTTAAATCGTGTGAATAAGTTCAAAGATGGCGAATATATTAATCCTCGCCTCATTCTGATTGGCCGCTAAGCTGACTGCCACGTTTTCGAAATCGAGTTGCGTTTAATTGCAGCCAGTTCAAGCTAAACCATTGTATATGAATAAGATTATAGGTTATATAAGATCTTTGTGTTAAATTAAACTTGTTTCCATAACTAGAAATATATATATCATTTTACATAATTGTATATTTAAACAATGCACCACAATATGCCCTTTTAATTAGTATATTATTTCTATAGAATTAATTAATTTTATATCTAATACCAAGTTATATTCTTCAACGTTAATTAAAATTGTAGTTTCCAGTACCATGTCAAGCCCATATGAGTTGTTCTAGCTTTTGAAGAGACCAATCAATCTACTACTCTGAAGTCACCTTTTAACCTTGTAATTTTTGCTGATAACCTTGACTGATTTTATATGAGAGTGTGTGTGCGTATCACTTACGGCATTCATTACATGTTTTTAACTTAATTTTGCCTGGCTGTAAATATTGAGTCACGCTTTATCAAAATAAGTTGGCTGGAGCATATTTAAGAACCAGGATGCATTTCATTGTATGTGACTTCTCCCCAGCGTCCACTCAGCATCTATTAGTCTTGAGGAGATTTTACTGATCATATTTATTTGTCATCATATTTCTCATAACCTTATAGTGCTTAAGTCACATCAATTTGTCAGCTTTTTAAAATACCCTGCGTTCACTATTGATAAACTTGGTTTCAAATAACAAATACTGCTGTTTGATACTAGCTGGTTTTTGTAAGTGCACTTACACAAATGTCATGGTATTTAAATATCTGCCTTTTTATTGTTGTCCTGTAAGTCTAACGGTTATTCATCAGTAATACATTCTTCTTATAATTTGATATCAACTGAATGATTACCTTCATGATATCAAGTATAAGATACAAAATCTATTCATCTTTGTAAACTGTTAACCAATCATTACAGAATAATTTTCCAACCAATTCATCAGTTTATAAGAGCTTGTATTTTCCCGTTATTTATATCTTAAGGAAAGTGGTCAAGAAGGATAAAACAACCATCCTGGCTTACTCTTTTGACCACAATAGAGAAATACTAAAAAATTGAAGCTAAAAGATAATATTTAAGTAATATGCTCAGGATGTATGTATATTAATTAAGACTTGCCGGTTTCAGTCCCTAATACTAACAACAGGGAAATCCAAATTGTTAAGAATAAATATCACATTTGTTGGACAAATTATTAACTATCTGAACCCAGCAGATCAGTGGATAAATCATTGAAGCTTAAGATGATAAATACTTGGTTCTGATATCAACAGTAGGACGTAGGTATATTCAGCTATCGATTTTCAAGTAAAACACCACTATTTTTACATGGATTCAAATGAAAGACAGGATTAAAATCTAAGTAATTTGTCAGTAATCAACATTTTCTAAAAGCTAATATACTAGATCGTAACAAAATGATGTAACTTAATTAGTTTGAAAATGATTACTGAGGTTATCACCGTTTAAATAAAACCAAAATTTCTATAATAAATACCTAAAAGCATTGTGATACCCACTGTGAACATTGTCCTTTGTGAATTTGGTCAGTATTTTCCTTTTGTTTAGTCAAGTTACACAGTGATTTGTTAAAAAAGGGTATACTTGAATAATTTTCATTCGATTCACCAATAATTGGATACATTATCTGTTACAAATAAATAAAATTAAAAGCAGGTAATTAAATGAAGACTTAAAATATGAAATTAAGAAAATGAAATATTAAATTTACTTTATTTGTTTGATCAATAGGCCTTTCTGAGTCTAATTTAGAATGCGAGAAAATATGTGGATTATTATTGTACAGTAGCATTCGTGTTGTAGCCAATTTATGTAATTCATCAAATGAATTCCTATTTAATGCAAAATTCTCCATTACTTCTTCTTGGTTTTTCCCTTGTTCTTCTTTTCAATTCCATTGTGAATTGATGATACGAATGTGAAAGGCGACAAAGCAAACAAAAATTGGAAGAATACATACAGACTTTAATATTTTCGTAAAGAATAATTATTGTAAAGGATAACTACTCAAAAATTATGTTCTAGCCCTCAGTGTTAAATCATGTCTATAAATTAAGGAATGATATTTAGCTCTTACGATTAATTTGTTTGATTTATTCAAGAACAATAAAGCTGACTCTTTATTCTCTTTTATAAATGATAACATGAAAGATTCCATAATGTATGTTTCCTAGGCGTATTTATACCCCTATAAAAGAGATCCTTCTTAAAAAACAAGACCATATGTACCTCGATTTCTTAATATTCTGTTAATATTTTGCGGCGAATTATGTTCCAAGAGGATGTAGTTGTGATCCAAAATACAAAATTTTAAAGATCAAATAGTTTAAAGTGCCGACATTTGTTAAGATCTCAGTGATTTAAAACTTTATCCAACATTAATTTGAATATAATGAATTAGTTTTTCAGTATTTGGCCGACAATTTATGTTTCTGCTGACTAGAACTGAGAGAAAAATTAAAGTTGAATGTTAATTGCATAATATAACGACCGCTTCCAACTTCGTCTTATATCACAAAGCATTAGAGCAAACACTATTTAGAGTAATTAAAAATAAATCTTATCTTCATAATTCATTAAGAAGTTCTATGGTCTCAAAAGAAATGAATCGCACGTAAAGAATAAAATTTGATTTTGTTTATCTAAATATCAAAAGGTCATAATGTAGACTAGCCGTCTTTCTTTAGATTCTCCAATAGAAGTATGAGCTGTGACTTTAGAGTGTACATTTTTTCAAGTAAACAAACTTCATTCTATTAATAGTTTGCATAACTTTTCAAATGAGACTTTTGACATCAAGCTCTACATCCAGTGATACTTAAAACTGCCAATTTGTACGTAGTAACTAAGTCGCAAGTGTATTTTCCAGGTCCATGCTTGTCAAATTGTTCAACGTTAAGCATCTTTCAACACATTAAGTTTCCAATTATTTGTGTCACTTTTAAATTAGTATTTCATACGGTGTTCTCAGTGAAAAGTTGATCAAAGCATGAAACTTACCCATACTTAGATTTGGCAAGAAAGTCCCTTCCGATGCTTTTTGACTATTTACGCTGTCTTGTCCTATTGATTGCTGAAGCTTAGAATTCCGATGCAAACGAAGCAATAATTTTTCTGCGTAAGTTATACTTGGCGTGAAATATATTTCTACTGGAGCAGATGTCTTACATATTGTTGAGGTTATATGACTGACCGTGGCTAAAGATTGTTTTGCTGTTAGTTGTGTTTTAGTATACGGATCATATTGATCGGGATCACTTAATGCTTCAGTTTGTAAAGCTGAATTTGATTTAGTCTCAATACCGAAGGAACTTTGACATCCCTGTTAAAATGTAATAAAAGGTTGATTTAGATGAAGATAATACTTCTATAATCTGCCTAAAGACTATCTGTATATATGTTTTAAAGGTAGTTCTAAAAGTTAATTGGGTTCCTTTAGAAAACTACTGTAAACCAGTAGAACTCAATAGTTATTTTTTAGTAGTTTGTGATTTATCAGTGTTGCAAGTATGGAATCCTCAAGTATTGGAATTGGGGTTTTTGACTAGCATCTTTCACGAGGAAAGCTATGTTAAACTCTCATGAATATATGAAGACCTCGAAGCTGTTCATTAGAAAATGATATTTGCTTGAAATTCATTAAAACCAACAGTACAAATCATCTATTTTGTTGTCTTTTAGAAAGCCTAACAAATATTTTTCTTTAAATGACTTAGTTATTGAAACTAAGGTTATGACTTTTCAAGCGGTTAGCTTGGTACGAAAATAGCTGCATCGAAACCAAAAATCAAACAAATATCAAGCAAGTGATAACATCTTTACATGATAGTAGCTTCTTTATAAGCTTGGAACCTGCCTACCTTGTAAGTGATCTTTCGTAGATTTGAGGGGTGTGACATTAAAGACTAGCAATTCTAAGACACTTTGTTAAATGCTTTATGAAAGTCTTGACCTGAATATTTTTGAGTAACTGTTATTAAAATACTTGTTGAACTTTTTAAGATCTATTAAATGCAGAAAATAAGAAAAGTCAAACTTTGTTTCATCTAGTAGTACTCAAAGTTTGGTCTCGATATAACCGAGTCTTAATAATTTCATTTTCAAACTGTAAATAGTGCTTCTAGCAAGGATGCTTCAAACTAAAATTGGAAATATTAGTAACTATTAACAAATCATAATTATAGTTGGGGATTTACTAAAGCAGTACTTACTTTACTGATTAACTCTTTGAATTCTTGTGTTTTGTTAATACCACCAGTTTCTTTACAAGGACGTAACTCAGGCCGCAAGCTACGAGTCTAAACCATGATTATAAATGACCGCCATACCGAGACAGGCAACGAATGGTGACGTCTTAGCGCTCCTTTCAAATGAAACACTGCAAAACATTTAGCACAATAGTATTCACTACACTCCTGGCACATCTTCAAAAGAAAGGGTCAGGAAAATAACACTTACAACAACAGCGTTTTTGTCTTCACACTGTCCACACATAGACTGATGAGTAGTGATAGGATTTACTGGCGTAAGTTCTATGCCTTCATTTATTTTTCGGATGAAACTACCATATGTATCAAGGCTTTTGACTGAGTAAGTGATAAATCAGTAAATCAAGCTACTTTCAGAAGTTGGACTGTGCTTCAAAGGTTTGAATCTAAGTCCACTGATCTAAAATGAAGTATACACAACATATTAAATAAATTTATACGTCAACTAGTGCATCTCTTTTCTTTTTTTCGATTGAAGACGTTGGACAACTGCCTTCCCAAATCGGTAGAGAAGAACTAGTCATTGTGCTTAAACTGTATCATCTCATTACTTGAGTTTATTTGTCTTGGTTAGTTCTGAATAAAGAGTCGATTTAAGAAGCTTCAGTCTCTCTTCAATCTCCTTTGTTTCCATAGCTAACAGTTTATTTTCTTTTTTCTGTTTCGAAACAGCTCTTTTAATAATCAGCCTTGTTGTCTTATAACTTACGATTTTTTGTCATTCTTTTCCATAGTAATTTAATTAAGAATAGTTTGTTGATAAAACGGAATACCAGAATACACACGACCGTAAATTACAATCGACAAATGAGTCTTACATGTGTTAACACAAATTGAGGTAAAGAATCATAAAACGATTCTATAGACGTTAGGAATCGAAAGGCTATATATGGCGGCGGTCGATAAGTTGAATTACCATTGTTACATACTTCATGTCAACATATATATATTGATGTACTTAAACAAAACTACGTAAAATAGTAACAGTAAACAGAGAAATACCAATAGCAAATTATCACAATTTTGCATTATTTAAGTGTGCTCTACAACATTTGTCAGTAACGTCTAAGTATTAAAGAAGTGTATAGGATTCTGGTGAGTTATGATATTATATTCCCTTAGGTTCCTGGAAAGTGGTCAGAATGACTGTGTTTGTCGGTACTCAGGACCCATTCAGTATCCCCTAAACACATCTTAGGACGAGTTATCTTGTTGTTTCTCCTTAGCAGTCTAATATCTGATATTTAATTTGTAGATTCCTCTCTATTAAACTTTGTGAAACTAATCTATTGATTTCAAGTCAAGGTTTAGCCTCTATTCATTCTACTCTTATTGGCTGTTGAGCTTAGAGTGCGACATACTGCTCATTGTGTATTATAAAGTGGCGGTAGTAGATGTTTACATGTGAAGATTTTTGCATCGATAAATTCTATAAAACCAGTATGCTGTTTCTAGATATTGCTCTTAATGACTGACTAGTCGAATAGTTAATGCCGCAACACATTTCAGTAAGCGTAAGCAATTGTAGTTGAAGCGACATCTATAGCTTGGTGACTGCATTTACGAGCATCACAGTATTCTAGAGTCATAAGCTTTCAACTCGTTACATCCATGAATGTTAAATGCCGAACACGTAATAAAACACTCATTACAGGTCAGCGAGTTGTCACTCTTAGCTCTGTAGATGTATCATATACTGGTCTCGTGCACTGTGGCCATTTTAGAGAAGGAGAGTCAATTTTTCAACATCCTTTTTCATATGAATGGATCTCTCTCTCTTCGTGAGACTAATTTTAACTGGTGGTAATAGGAAGTTCTGAGCAGAGAAATGTTAAAACCGTTAGATTCGATTTGTTTAACTAACGCATCCTTAAGTTGAAGATATGAAGACTTAAAGACCTTAATGGACACTGATTGGCATACTACAGTCATCAGAATGATAATCCTAATGTAATATTCCATATTCGCTATGAACTGACTACTTAGTCCGTATGATGATATACCATATGTTCCAACATTTTCTTCTTGGAAGCAAAGATATACGGGTTTATAATGCAATAATGCAGATTAAATAATGTATTAAATATGGGAGAGAATGTTTATGGATCCCCGAATCTGCATGCCTGACCCATGCAGTGAAGATATATTTTCAATGTCGGCCTTTTTAGACCGCCACTATTTACTCTCATCAGCTGTTTAATATTCAGGATTTTACCAACATTACCACCTCTTGATAAGACTGTGAATAACTAGGTTACGGGCCTCTATGAACAAGTGACTCCTGATAATCTGTTGTAAAAAAGACAGTTTCCAAACTATCGCAAATTTAATTAGCTTTCCATTGCTTGCACCGTTGAAAGGATATTTGTCCAACTATAACCGGAAAATGTCTCGGTTAACTTTTCGAATTCTCTACGCCTTTGCAGTGAACTTTTCTTTTTAATGTCCTGGTGTCTGCAAGGATTTTGGGCATACTCGGTGCATTTACAGCCGCTAATCTTCCACATTTTGTGCTGCTCTTAGTTCAATAGTATAATTCCCTTATAACCTACGACATCCACTGATGTGGACAGACTTATCAGCTTTTCCCATTTGAGAATTTAATTTTCAGTTGTCATCTGTTTCCTACAGTTTGTTAGTTTACGTAACTTGTTCCCAGATTAATCCAGCTTACATTCTTGGACATGACTCGTAATGTGATAAAGTATAATTATGATAAAATGAAAAGAAAGTCTTTGCTATTTAGTGATTTGTAATGGGCTTTCTTACTTTTACTATACGCCACGACAAATATTTTGCTAAGCTAGTTTGGTTCGCTCTGTCATTGCTTACCTTGCCTTGTCTTCTTCATGGACAAAATCACCTTTATCTTTGACAGATTATCAGTTTCATGTTTGCCAATCATTTATCTGCTTGAAATCTTATAATTCAGATTTCAAAAGGTTTCAGTGTGTGCATTGTACAGCCAAGATGAGGAATTTTCGGGTACGGAATATTTTTTGTATTTTCTAATATCGCTTTCATTGCTAAACATTGTATTTCGATATATTCGTCATTATAACTCTCGTAACTGACTGATTTGAGTGGTTGTTTGGAGATCGTGATATTGAATATAACTATCACTGGTCTGTGAATTCATATCGCAAAAATGGTGACTGGATGAGGATTGAAGCGAATATTGTGACAGACGGGAAAAAATAAGACTCTTATGACACTCGAAATTGAAGAGTCTGTGGAACGTATCTTAACTAAGTTGCAAAAATCTTCAATATAGTCTCATAGCAAGACAAGAATCGAGGTACCTGCCGTGTCTGTGTTACTTATTTGTTTGATTAAATCAGGGAGTCATGTGATGGCGTTCATTTATCCATTTTGATCGACCCTGTTTTGACTATCTTAGTCCGTTAATGTGTGCTATCTAGCCATTGTTATCTACAAGCTTGAATTTGCATGATTACGCCTATAAACCGGCTCGTATTCTGCTTTAATCTTCAGAAGGTATGATTGTAAGTTCTTTATACTTTGTGCGATTGATACAAATTTGACGCCAGTGTCCTAATGTGAGATTGTCGCAGTAGTCCTATATCGTGCAAGTAAGTTATTTGGGGATGTATGGTAAAAGTCGTCACCAGCTGATCATTATTATGCAAACAACCGAGAGGAAGTCATCAGTGTGCAACAACGTCCCTAGTTATCAAAGGACGTTCGATAGCATAGACAGAAAATACTGGAGGAATTATCTTTCACAATATGGAGTAGATTATCATTATTATTATTAACAAACAGCTCATTGTTAGATAAGTGCTGTGAAGAAACTATTTTAAATCTCTTCATAAATGCAGCAATGCACAAGTTTCAGTATTGTTGACATAAAAGTAGCCATATTTAAACAAGTTTTTTAGAACTAAGAGGAATATTGAGTTGACTTTAAAGACGATAAAGGGAACAGCAATGAAAAAATGAGAGAAGGAAACGCGAAATAAATATAGTTTATTGGGCGTGTTAGTGAGAACAGAATGAGAATACGCGATTATGTGTGTATTGCCAAATGAATAAAAATCGATAAATAAGAAACCAAACAGTTAATTCAGTAAGATTTGACAATAAACTAAGAGTTTGTACAATACTAATTCAGAATGATGTAAATAATCGTCAGATATCACTTTATATGAAGCGTACATATGTGGTGAAGCTAGAATAAACCTGGAAAGTTAATTTATTTAGGTGTATCACAAGGTAATTCGTTTTGAGTTATAAGCTTCGGATGCTTATGAATAAAATTTGTTTGAATGGATTAGCAAGGGTTGGAAGTAAAGGGAAGGAAAAAAGAACATCCAATGTGTCAGGGGTTCAGTCATGATAATATTAATTACCATAATAATCATGATCATAGGCGGACTTCGAATATTTGGATGAAAAGAAAGCAAACAAAATAAAATAAATGAACAAAGTTTTAAAAGTCCTACTTTGATTTAAAGGCAGTTAGATTGATTTTGGACCGTTTTTCTATAAATCCATGGTTATCATACTGATATTTATTAGGTGACGCAATCCACTTTCCTAAAGAAAATCATCAAGGAGATTTTTGAACCTAATTATAGTTTCACCCCAACAAAGGTTTACTGGGAGTCTGTTGAATAGCAAATAACGAGGAGATTCTGGCGTAAGCTTGCTTAGGCTGTTTGAATCAATCAAATATTCTCTTTATTGAGCAGGTTGTGGGATGATACGGTAGATAGATGTAGAGATGGTCCCCATCATAAGAAGCTTTTGCCACGAGTCCAATTTAAAAAACGTGAATAAAGTTCAGAAAAGTAATCCATTCTGAATTTAGATTGATCCAATCTAACTGACGACAACCTTCACCTTCCTTTTTCTTTCTGAATGTTGAGATCATTGAAACTACATTTCATGTGAAGTATAGAATACAGTAGACGATGCGACTGGAATTCCAGTATTAGTCGTGCCCACAGGAGATCAGCGTACTCACGTTCGTTCGATTCGACTTTACTTTGCTCTTCCATGTGTGATACAAATCTATTCCGATTCGCTCGCACTAAATTACATGGATACACATACTTTGCACGTAATTCGATCGATTTTAGTTTCGAAATGAATATTTAATTTGTGAAAAAGATAGAATTTCTCAAAAAAAGCCTACGCTACACATTCAAAAATTATTCTGGTATACAATAACATATCAAATGACAAAACAAATTGTTCACAAATTAGTACTCGGTACCTAAGAAATAATAAAATTACTTAAAACAATGGGGAATCAAATTCCTATTCACTAAGATTCAAGTAACCGTTTTCAAGGGTCATTTAAAGGACAACATTTGTCGACCTCCTCACACATAAACCTTGAATTCAAGCAAATACAATCCTATTTTAATCGGCTTGTCATCATACAACAACAAATTTGAATAGTTGATGAAAATATTAGCCAAAGTCAAACAATAGAGGCCTAGATAAAGAAGACTGAGAAATGAAAAGCATTGTTGTAAGAGTCATGAGTAGACATCAAAATATAAGGCACGATGAAATGATAATAAATACCAACATTGCGAAACAAAAGACTTTTGCGGGATTTTTAGACTATTTCTTCCATTACGTATGTGTTTGACAGAATAAAACGATGTTTAATGCTATTGACCGTAGAATGTTTCAAATGATTCTACGATACTGATACAAATTTCACGCAAGCGTTTTGAATTGTAGCCGTTGTAATAAAATCCTTATATTGCACGTCAGTTACTGAATGGATTGTGCAAACTGCATTTTGTAACCAATATATTGCCAATGTCTAACCCACCCGCCACATTTGCTTTTATCGCATTTCACCGACTTATATTCCTTATTCCGTTAATCAACTCAGAGGTGTTGATTGGCGGTCATTTTGTTATAAGCTAACGAGCAACTTGACA